GAGAGTCGATCGATTATTCCGATCGTATGGGAATAGCTGAAAAAAAAAGGTGGGGACAAGTTGTCAATTGAGTATCTGCATATTTCTGAGATGTGAGGTATCACTATTTACATTATTCGGTTCCTTTCTGAGATCATATTATGTACACCATTTTTAATTATCAACGACTTCCCCATCAACTTTCAAACGTTTCGGCCTTCATCTATATTTCTAGATGAGGTATTATGTACACTATTTACATTATTCGGACTATTGTCCCTCATCTTTTGTCATATTTATTACCTAACGTTTCAGCCCTTCAGTATCTGTCTATATTTCTGAGATGAGGTATTATGTACACTATTTTACATTATTCAGACTATTGTCCTCATCTTTGTCGCCATATTTATCACAACGTTCCGGCCCTTCAGTATCTGTCATATTTTTGAAATTAGGTATTATGTAATTTTATTTACATTATTCGGACTATGTCCTCATCTTTTGTCGCCATATTTATCACAACATTCCGAGCCCTTCAGTATCTGTCTATATTTCTGAGATGAGGTATTATGTACACTATTTACATTATTTCAGACTATTGTCCTCATCTTTGTCGCCATATTTATCACAACATTCCGGCCCTTCAGTATCTGTCTATATTTCTGAGATGAGGTATTATGTATCATCGTCGCCATATTTATTACAATAATAATATGACAACAAAGATGAGGACAATAGTCCGAATAATATAAATAGGTCGTCAATCGTTTTATCAGAAGTGAGTCTATATTCCTTGTTCTGAAAAAATGACGGGCAAATTCATTTTAATCTTGCATCTATGCCGATTAAAATTCATTTTGACACAGCCTGGATTCTAGGCATTTTTTATTCTCAGACTGGCGCAAGGAACATAGCTTGGTGTCTTTTATTGTTTATTTTTGCTTTACTATTTTTCACAAACCGAGAGCCACTCAAGTTAGGTTACCAAATGAGATTAGACGTAAGAAGAGAGTATGACGTGTAGCTTGCGAAGATATTTAGGATAGCAGTTAAGAGGTTAAGATTGTAGTCACCAGGGAAGCATCCTCTAGGGAGTCTGTTCCACAAAGCAACGGCTCTTGTGAAGAAGCTGTCCAAATGGAACTCCCTTCTTACCAATGGAATACAAAGCGATTGAAGATGATTTGATCCTGTGTATGTGGCATGGTGAATTTTAGCTGTAAAGGTTTAAACTGTTGGAACTAAGAAAGATAGAACATTTTCCCATGGAAATAGCGGTAAAGTACTGACATTTTGTTTCTGGGAAAGATGTTGTAGAGTTGGAAACCCGAAAATTTGTACGGACGCTTTTGGATTCTGTCAAGTCTGGAAATATGACAGGAATATTCTCTTTTGGTGTCTGATCTGATCTTGGAAAAATTGATAGTGCCAACGGGAGAGGTCAGGTTATTTTTTGGTGTGACAGGAGGGGGGGGGTTAGGTGCAGACATCTTTAGCGATGGATCATGTCTATGAGTTCTACTTAAGGTCTGGAGTGGACAGGAGCCCCAAAACACGGCCAAAGAGTATTTAATGTTAATATATTTTATCGTTTGCTTGTTTTCATTGGACTTTGATTCTGTTTTTTGACATATCAACTTCTATATGGGTTATTTTTTGCCGGAATTAGAAACAATTCAAACTTTATAATTAATTGGGGAGAATCCATTATTTTTGATCAAATTATAATTTTGAAAGATATTTAACCAAATAATCTTACAAAATCAACTGAGGATTGAAACGTGTTTCTCCTTGCAAAGATGAGATTAATCATAGCATTATTTAAAATGTTTTGACAATGTATGTCAAAGTGGTGTTTTAAGGGTCATGACATATTGCTCGTCATTTTACTATCAAAAAATATATTGGTCATTTACAAAAAAATGTATTGCTGGTATTTTTTACTATAAAAACATGTTTTTATGTTTTCATAGTGTTTTGACACTAAGCACCGTTTAACTTTGGGATCGTACAGGTGCTTAGTAACCCTGGATCAGGTAGACCCAGGAACAACAGCAATTAAGAAATTCCACACTATAAAAAAAAAAATCTTCCGATCAGAGGCCTTCTTTTGTAGTTTATCGTCAGACCCAGAACTGATATACCAGGTGTGATAGCAAAATTGTCCAAATCCTTTTATTTTATACAGTTATCCATCCCAGAAAATGTCTATTATCTAAAAAAAACAAAACAAAAAAAACCATTAAACTAATTAGACTTTCTATTTTTCCAGGTTTTTCAGATGGGATGTTTAACCATTAATCGAAAAAGTGGTTGTAAGACACTGAAAAAACATTTTGATATTTCTAAAATAAGTTTATAATTGCCATGCATGACATCCATATATTCTAACTGATGGTATTCTGAAATTTGGTGAAATGATTTGTATTCACTGGTAATATTTGGTGTGTCATGATTGCTTTTCTATGACTACTAATTGTGATAGGAACCATGCTGTCTTCAAAAGAATTCTCCAAAAAATCAGTTTTTCAAGATCCAAAGTCTTTCAGAGTGTTCTTTGTGCTTGAGCTCAAAATCTCCTTTAGAAATCATTCCCAATACATGCTTGCAATTACTGATTCATTACTTTTAGGAGTCTAGTGCTTAGCTTCCACAGTACTTTTCCCAAAATTAAACATGAAGAGTAAGTAATATCAAATTTATGTTCTATATTCAGACAGGATTTCCTCTAAAATAAATAAATATTTATCTATATTTTTTTATTTTTTTGTAAACAGTTCCTAAAACAGAGGTACACACTAGCAATAAAAGAGCTGAATAAATTCCAACAGCACTTCAATGATTTTCCTAACATTGTACAGAAAATGGCATTATAGAATTTTAAGCCTAATAAAATGTAACTTTGTTTAAAAAAAAAAAAAAAAAAAAATGTCTTGTACTGATGAATTAATGAAATAAATGTGTTTTAGTTTTTTTGTTTTTTTTTCTGTTGACCCACATTTTATATGGAACTTTATATACAAAATACTACTGCAAAGTTTGGAGGATTTGAATAACATGTTTACCAAATGTAGTACAAGTTTTTGTCCCTACCCTTTCGTGAGTAGTACAGTGGAGTAATGGATAGCAGTTCGGATTGAGGAATCGGAGAGCCAAGTTTAAATTCCAGTCAAATCCATTACATTGACTTACATGCTAATGCCTTTGTGAAAGGTATGAATCCTTTTTTTCTCCCCCCCCCCCCGCTATGGGTAAATAGCAGGACAGTCCAGGTTCTATAGCTGTGGATGGCGACTGTTCTACCACAGAAAGAAATGTCAACCGACTGCGGAAAAAATCTGCCTTGTCAGTTATGTATTGAAAGATACATGATTGCCTAAGCATGTATCACACATGGCTTATAACTGACTGGTGCACTTGTGAGCCAGTGTACAAACAACAGACAAGAAGACTATTTAAAGCGGATAGGAAAAACTCTTGTGTTAATGTACGTTATTTTCATAGTTATTCTCCAAACTTTAGTAACTTTTTAAAAACCCAAAATGGTAGTGTGGTGAACAGTAAGAAGAATGTTGCTCTGTTCCTCTCTTTGAGAACCCCCCCTCTTTTGGATGGTTTTCCCAAATAGTGTTTCTTTTCTTTTCTCTTTTGGCCTCCTACCATTCATCTGTATGTTGAATATCATTGCCACATCTGATCTGGTACTTCTTCTGTCTATCTAAAGTAGTACGATACCTTTTTTTGTTCTAGCAACACTTGCACCAAGCTGTATTGGCTTCTGCCTTTCTCTTGAACAAGATCGTGGAGAGGGGAGATGTGCTGCATGAGCAACTGTCAATCTCTTATTAAAAAAAAAAATGTCTGTGCCCTGAAGGGGGCATAACTCTTCAGGTGCAGATACATGGTTTTTGAGACCGACTGACAGCATATATAATATAATTTTAATCTAAAATTCTTTTTATCTTCCAAAAAAACCTAATCAATTTTCTCAAACAAATATTCTTTTCTCTCTAGGATGATGTTAAGCCTGAACCCTGTTTAAAACAAACTTAGATTACTCCATTTTTAAATTGAGCACGGTTTTTTTATTGTTTTTTTTTTTGTTTTTTTTATAATTCTTATAATGTTCATTTATTGTTCTCTTTTCTTATTAATGTTTTTCTTTTTCTCATATTCTTTCAAACTCGGTATGTCTTAGTGGCTTTATTGACTAACTTGGGGTGAAATAATTTTTAAAAAATCCTGTGTATCATCAAGATTATATTAATATAACATAATAAAATGAAAAAAAGAAATGATCTGGTGTGGTATTATTGGAAAAACATTAGTGGGCCTATGAAGAGTACAAGATGGCGTCAAAATGGCTTTTGAGCTTTTTATTTTGTTGTGATCCAGGAACTTTAAAAGGGTAAACAGTTAACGTGTATGTTTCTTTTCTTTTTGTTTTTTTATGTATGTATATCTTACCCTTTTTTATGATTATTTTTTTTTCTTTTAATATTCAGGGTGACATTAAGAAACACACAAAACTCACTGGAACTGGCCCAAGTTGACCACAAATCAACTGACTGACCCTCAACAACAACTGGTATTAAACCAACATATGCAAGCAATGTCCAATGTCTAATTATGCAATAATTAAATGATAAAGAATAAAAGAGAAAAAATATGGGGGAAAAAAATATAAAGTGATATAAATTCAGAAAATTATCTTTTAACCTTTTTAATCCAAGTTTGGGACAAACAATATCTTTATATATATATATATATATATATATATATATATTAATGGATTTCAATACACACTACTCATTAGATCTAATGTGTTTTTAAACAAAACAGGTTTTTTATTTTTTTTAAAGGAGTGAGACAAAGATGTCTCAACAGTATTATTACATAGCAAACAACTTGGACCCATTACAGAAACTGATAACTTGTATTATTGACAGATATTATCTTGGGAAATCCCATTAGGATTAAAAAGGGGTTAATTCCCCCCTGCCAGTTCTTAAAAAGACAATATGGAAAAAGCTGATGCTGTTGAAAATCAAACAGTTTCCAACAATCAGGCCCAGTGTCTTGATAGCAGAGCTAACAATAACAACAACAATAGTGAGACAGAGGATTTTCTCTCTGTCGATGAAAACAGCGGAAGAATATCTCCAGTAGTTATCAGTGCTGCTAACATTCTGTCAAACAGTAAGCAAGTCCATCCACTGAACAAGCCCTACCAGTGTGACCTCTGTCCAAAAACTTTCACTAAACCATTTTACCTCAATCTTCATCGCAAAGTTCACTTAAAGCCACCAAAAGTCTACGAGTGCTTTCAGTGCAATGAGATATTCTCAACATCAGGCAAGTTGTCAACTCATGAGAAAGCAGTGCATAAGGACAAAGTCCACTTTCCTTGTGACCAGTGTGATCAGGTATTTAGTTTGTTCCGGGCATATGTATCTCATCAGAAGACCCACTCGAATGGAAAACCTTTGACGTGCGACCTCTGTGATAAGCCATTTGCCTATTCCAGCCAATTGGCTGCCCACATGCGGGTACACACTGGTGAGCGGCCATTTCAGTGCCAGCTTTGCCAAAAGAAATTCACCTACTCAGGCCATTTGACCGTCCACATGCGCTCTCACACAGGAGACAGGCCTTACAAGTGTGAGGTTTGTAGTAAATCGTTCACCCAGTCCAGTGACCTGACTCACCACTCAAAAATCCACTCTGGAGTGAAGCCCCACACTTGTGGAGTGTGCTCTAAGTCATTCACCCATGCCGGCCAGTTGATTGTCCATCTACGAAAGCATAGTGGGGAGAAGCCATATCGTTGTGAACACTGCCACAAAAGGTTTGCGCAGTCCAGTCACCTAACGTTGCATATCCGTTCTCACACAGGAGAGAAGCCGTATCGTTGTGGCCGCTGCGACAAATCCTTTGTTGACTCCAGCCACCTTGCTGTCCACACCCGGACACACACTGGGGAGAAACCATTTGAATGTCCATTCCCTAGTTGTGGGCGGTTATTTGCCCGCTCAAGTCAGCTGGCTCGGCATCGAAGATGTTGCCAGTACAATAAAAACAAAACTGCAGTTCCCGAGAAAGAACGTCCATTCAGATGCACCTTTTGTCCACGGACTTTCAGTGCTGAGAACCACCTGGACTGTCACACCCAGGTGCACATCAGTGAGAAACCTTATGGTTGCCAATATTGTCAGAAGGCATTCTGCAAACCTTCTCACCTGTCCGCCCATATGCAAACACACACAGGCGCTGAAAAACCTTACCAGTGCCCTGAGTGCTTACGCACATTCACACAGTCAGCGTATCTAGCTGCTCATCGGAAAAATGTCCACAGAATCGCTGATGCTTTTTCTACTTCCATATTCATGACGACTTCAAGCCTCTCAAGTCGGGCAGTAGAAGACAACAGTGATGAATACGTCGATGATGAAGAAGAAGAAGAGGAGGAGATGAAAGAGAAAGAAAATAATCAATCATCATCATCTGCAGGTGGACCATTAATTGAACTGACTCCTTTTACTCCTCTTGTCTATCAACCAGATGTTTCCTCCATAGAGGAGGAGAGTAAAGAGAGTACAGGGTCGCTAAAAGAATTTGGCAAGTGCTTGTATCCAAATAAGGCTGAAAAGAATGAAATTAGTGCAATTAGATGCAATAGTTCCAGTCCTGTATTTTCTGATGGCTTCAGTCCTTCCCAGTCTCCTCGAAATCACAGTAATAACGAGGAGGAGGGTGATAAAGACAACAGCAATGCTGACAATTATAGTAGTTATGATGATGTTGAGGATGATAATGAGGACATGAGCCTCCAAACAGATAACTCTCATTCTCTTTGGGCACAGGGTAAGAGCCCAAAGGTAATGTCTTCCAAAAACTCTGTGAATGATGACTATATCTCGGATAAGAGCAAAATGGACTCAGAAGAAGAGAATGAAATTCAGGAAGAAATCTGTGAAGGCAACTTACCTACCATGCAGGGCAGCCCTCTTTCTCCCAGTGACAGATTGCTAAAAAGCAAATTATCCAAAACAAACTGAGCTATGCCTCGGGTAAGTTATCGCAAAAATTATTAAAGAACAGAAAAATGATTGTACTCAGCATCAAAATCCAAGACGTTTTATTTTATAATTTATATGAAGAAACAAACTGCTTTAACTTCGTGTCATTGCAATATGCACTTTCCCTCCTTCCACTGTTATATTTTTTTTGTTATTTATTTTTTAAATAGCAGACATCCCTCCAAAGTGAAAATTTGCTTCTTTTTTTCCTCCCTTTATTTATTTATTTATTTATTATTATTATTATATATATATTTTTTTTTAATGGACAATTCAAATTCTGGTGTCTTTGCAACTAAAAGTTAGACTGGAGCCATTTCTCTATATTCCGTCTTTGAGAGTTTATAAAATGAAAATAGATTTTGTTGACAGTTTTCAGAACTGTTTGAAAGTTTATGTCAGTTGTTAAATCATCTCATTTTGCCAAAATTGGCTCTTAAGACCAAGTGTTAATCTGTTGTATCCAATTTTCCTCAAGATTTATTTCAAACAAATGAAAATTAATCTCTTTGATCAAATATGCCAATAATGAATAATTGGTGAAATTCTATAATAGGCATTGTGACCAGAAATACCCATTTTTTTTTTTTTATTGTTTCATATTATTATAAATTAAGCACTCCCAATAGTAAACAGCATTTTTTTAAAAATTTTATGAATAATAGGGAAAACCAGTTTGCTATGTAAATTGATCTCCCTACAGAAGTCAAAAAAAAGATATGCTCAAACCACATGGTTTACAGCTGCATCACATTGAAAAATTGGTTCCTGTACAATCACTGACGTGTGACACTGTGCTGTCGGCCCGTGGTCAACTCCCAGTCATGGTGCGAAGCTGTAATGTTTCTTCCACCGGCGTTTTGGGGTTGACTCTTAGTCGCTGCCACCAGCCTGTGTCCCGGTTGATCGGTGGTCTTACCCGATTCGATACCAGCTCCGTCATTCTCAGCTCACTTCCAACATCTGGTTACTGAAGTAACTGCTTTGATCTCAAGTCTAACCTACCCACATTGTGATTTTGATCTTAGGTAGACAAGATCAATCAGGCATTGGGCCATAGTGTAAGCTGAGTCCAGACTGAAGGTGATATCGCACAAGCATAAAGAAAAAAAAAAAAGCAAATAAAGAAAAAAAACAAGAGGTTCAAGAAATAACAAATTAACTTTATCCGTCTGTTATATACAGGAGTGTGTTTTCCTCCCAGCCTGTTTTCTATGTGACACTTCTACGTTTCTTAAGCAACTTTTTGTATCTTAAGTCAACTGGTTTAGTTCTTAGGTGCTGGCTTGGCTTTGTTCATCAGTATAACTTGCTATTAGTAAGATAGGTGAAGTCAGAGGCTGTAGAATCTCTTGGTCAACTTCTGCGAGGCATCACTCTGGTTCCCGCTACCTGAACTAACTGTCAAACAGCCTGAGGATGTTCATTTATATGGGTACTGACCAAAAACCGGTGCGGGGTTAGATGCGGTCTGGTGTTCTTGGCAAATCTCTATTTCCAACAAGAAATTTCTTAGTTGTCAATTGATTACTTCCCATTTTTGGAAAATTAGGGGGGGGCTCCTTCATCTGTGAGGGGAGGTCAGAGGAGAGCTATCCTCCTAAACTCTTCCTCTCTCACATTGATATCTCATACCAATCCCTTAAGTTAATAACTTCTCCGTCCTTCTCATCCATTCACCTCTGCCTATCACCATTGCTACCACTCGACCAATGGCATCCCGGCCGTGCGGGTGTGGCTAAGCTGGCCTCCTTAAAATTATAACCCAGAATTTTTGTTTACAAAAATCTTTCTTTTTTTTTTCTTTCCCCATCGGCCAAAATTTTTATGAATCCCAAGTTGCCACTTAAAATCTATCAGATCCAGATCTTTTGGTCATTAAGAATCCACTTAGCCAGCACTCTTTACAAATTCCATCAATCACTGTCAAAGTTTGCCATCTGGTCCCTTCATGAAGTTAGCTTTTACTGGAACCCTTGTTTTCTTGAGAAATTAAATTCCGTATCTTCCAAATCTCGATTCTTCCACGCTATTTTTCTCATGCTCAAAATTTTCACAATTACTATATGGCTTTGCCTTGCCAGCACTCAAGAAAGAAAAATAAATGATATCTTGGGAAGATAATTAACATTGATTCTCTTTACCCCGTATTGGCAATCAATCTCAGGCCGAAATTTTTATGACCGCCATATGGTCTGCCTGATATCTTAATGCTTTGCCTTTTTTCTGAATTCTAATGTTTCCCTTGGCAAGGCATTTCTTTACAACAATATTAATCAATTTGACAAAATCTCACATATGGCTTTTTCTACGGGTCCACTGTCTTTTGTGAAAAGTAACTTTTTTTTCGGAAATAAAATAAAATCTTTAATATCGAATGGTATATCTTTCGGGCTATCCTCTCTACATTTCCAGCATTTCCTTGTTTAATTTTTATGGTTAATTAGTTAGCCAATTACCATAGCTAAATAGTGTCACAGATGTTAAGCAACTTTGAGCCTGGTCAGTACCTTGATGGGTGACTACTTGGGAATACCAGGTGCTGTAAGCTTGGATGAGTGGGTGGTGTAATGGGTAATGGCTGGAAATTGTTAATCAGAGAGCCAGGTTCCACTTCCAGTTGGGTTTGTTATATTCTCTTACATGCAAATACTCTTAGGAAAGGTATGAATCCACCTTTTCTCTCCTCAGCTATGGGTTAATTAATGTTTCTTGTATCACTAAATCATTATTGTCTCAAAAAAAAAAAATTCTTACTATCTAAAAATATTTTCTGGCTTTAAATAACCTGCATAAGATTGATAAGCTGTAGAAAATGAATCAATTTCTTAAAATTTTATAAATGCTTTTTTTCATATATCATTATTTAATTGCTAGATTATCCACAGTAAATTTGACAACATTTCACCTTTCTTGGCAGATCTATTATTACTTAATAACAAAAGTGTTGTGGCATCCTCCTTCCAATGAGTCAATTGTGGACTCTTCCACTGAGTATAAGACTGGTTGGAGATTAAGTCTCGGAGAATACTCTTCTGTTCATTTACTATGCAAAATACTACTTATCTGTAAACACTTCTTTTGTTATTCCACAATCATTCATTTGGTCACAACAAAAAGTGATCAAAACAAAAGCATAAGGAAAATAACAAAAATAAAGATGACAATTAATATTGCATTTAAATTTTTGAAGATTATAGTTGACAGGAAAACAAGAAGTAGAAGATAGTTCCACAAGTGAGAAGTGTGAGAGAAGAAACTATTTGAATGGAACTTATGCTTACATTTAGCAGTTTAAATATTAAACTGATGAGACCTAGTTGCCAATCTAGTACTATGCTTAAATTCATGAAGTTGGAATACAAAAGAAGAAAGTTCATCAAAACAATTGCCATGAAAATATTTATAGAAAAGACACAGGGAAGCTATGTAACAGTGGTGGGAATGTGACTAAAGCCTAGATGTCAGGTTAGGACCAATAATATTGTAAATTCTTCTTTGGATTTTGTCAAGAATCTCTACACACATAGCTGAAGCACCAGACCAAGTGTGTTAACCAAATTCAATGCACGGATGAATAGCAGACTTATAAAGATGCAAAATAGATTCTGGTAAAAAAAAAAAAAATAGCATGACACGGGGAATGTAGATGATCCATAGTAAATTTACATCCAGGTTCTTATAACATTTCACCATTCTTGGCAGATCTTCTATTATCACAATGTGGGATACTTTATAACAAAAGTGATGGAAATAAACAAAATGAAAAAGAAACTAAATGTAATTGACTATATAACCAAAACATGTTTAAAAATAAAATTTAAATTTAAAAGTTTAAGATTTCACTTTCCCCTCTACTTTGGGTTTATGTTTAGTCACATAAACATCACTTTAGTCTGAAATCAGAAAGGATAAAAAATATCACTCAAAAAAATTTTTTCACTTTGTCATTGATTTTCCTAACCTTATTCTGGTATATAAAAATTTATACATCTTTTTCACGTATATTAATATCAATTAAGCACTCGAAATGATGATATTATCAGTTAAGCACTCCAGATTCTTCTGTGTGCTGTGTTTCTTCAGAATGTAGGCGATCATGGCTCTCCACAATTTCTTGTCCTTTGTAGCTCTTAATAAATTTTATCTTTTTATTATCTCCTAAACCTTGCTCTACTATACATTTACTGAAGTCCTCTAAGTACGTTATGCCTTGTTTTCCTCTGTCCCTCTTGCCTTCAGTCTGTCCTGTGAGTATTAAATTTTCCAAGCCATCTTTCCTCATGCATCCTAGAAATTTCAACTATCTCTTTCTGATGTTAAGTATAAGTGTCCTTTTTGTTTCCATTTTCTCTAAATTATGATATTTAAAAAAAATTTTTTTTAAATTTTAAGAACTCTCATGTTATGAGCATATATTGCTTTGGCTTCCATAGGGAGTTCAATTTACAATGAATTTATATAGCAAACTGGGCTTGTCTATTAATTTATATAAAATTTAATTAAAAAAAATCTTGATTGTAATCTATAGGAATATGAAAAAAAAATTTGAAGAAAATGATTTTTTTTTTTTTTTTTTTTTTTCTGGTTGGAATGCTTGTAGAAGTTTACGAAATAATTTTCACATTAGTTCCAAGATAAATCATTTAAAATAACTATAAATTCTATTTCCATGTCCATACTTTTTTTAAAATGGATAAAGTTCATCTGCACCATAAAAGTCTCTCTAGATACAATGAGTTAATAATCTTTTGTGTTGTATAAAAAAATCAGAAAATTTGTTTAATCCAGTTCCATTGTTCTATTGCATTATGGCAACCATCCACTAAATAAAACTATTCTTGATTGCTAAAATATATTTGTCCACATGTCAATACTATATGAAATACTAGACTCTATTCAATAGCTAACATTTTTCTTATTCTTTGAACTATGAGACTATTAACTGTTTTGGTACATCTTGAATACTGCATTCCATG